CCTAAACCCTAAATCCTATGAACCCTTTTGCTCCTGTCTAAATCTCCGAGCCTTGAGAGGCTCCTGAGGTCGGCGTAGAAGTTTCCGTCTGAGCCCGAAGCCCCTGCTAAGCCTAGACCCTAAGCCCTTAAACCCGAAATCCTAGACCCCCTCAACCCTAAACCCTGAACCCTAAATCCCTAAAGAAAAAATCCCTAAACCCCAAACACTAAACCCTACATCCCTAAACCCGAAGACCTCAGCCCCTCAACCCCAGACCCTAAACCAGCTCTGCTCCTTGTGGCGTTGCAGCAGTGTCGGATCAAGCAAGCCCTCGCTGTGACGCTTCGGCTGCCGAACTCAGCGTGGCTCTTCCTGCTTTTGGGCGCTTCGGGGCTTATTTAAGGGCCCTAAATGATTCGAAGAGGGGTGCTCTTCAGGGTTCCTTTAAACGCTTTAACTTGGGGTATATTCTACTATAATTATGCTGAGGAGCCCCAAAATAGTAATGGTCATCATTCAGGCCCTCTTTAATGTATCGGAAGATTGGTGGGTGGGTGGCTTCGGCGTAGGGATCCGAGTTTCCGCATGCTGAAAGGCGAAAGCTGGGATGGGCTTGTAGTGTGTGATGTCTATGCCAAGGTCAGCATGTTCATCGTGAACTGGTTCTTCGATGTGTTGGGCATCGCAGCTGCGTTGGTTAAATCAACCCGCATCAGTTCTAAGACGGAAGCGTGGTTCTTGCTCTCGTGACCTGCAAGGATACCTCGGCCTTGGCAACAAGAACGCGAAGATCCTTTTCCTTGGACTTGACAATGCCGGCAAGACCACTCTGCAACACGGCTGTGCTTGTGCACCCTAAACCTGAAAATTATGGCAACCCTTCCGATTACGACGGTTATCGTTCTGCTTCTTCTTATTCTTTTCTTTTTAGCATACTTGTTCTTATCGTTCTGGCAATTACTCGCATGATGATTGTTACTGTTAGTTTAACCAAGATTGCGATCATCAGCATGACCCGTAGATCTCGGTTTCCCTTGAGCACTAGGCCGAAGCCAGTGTCCATGAGGCTCCACATGCTGAAGGATGACCGCATTGCTACTCATGTGCCTACTCTTCATCCGCATTCTGAGGAGCCGCTGTCGCTGAGAACATTCACTCCAAAGTCCTTTGAACTTTGAATCCGAAACCCTGACCGCGAAGCTGGCGAGCCCGAGTGTGAGAGCATAAACCTCCCCCGTAGGTTCTCTACAGTGACATGAGTTTCGGCACTTTCTCTGCTGCGGGACATGTCGGCGCTTTTCTGCTGCGGCCTGGTCTGTAAGTCTGTCGAATATGTTTTTATTCCCTGCATCTTTGAAGACTGAAGCACAGGTGCCAGGAGCTCCAGGTTTGAGCCGGGAACCCTTGTATGAATCCCCCTTGGCAATTCCTAAGATGCGGGAACTAAGCAAGCCATCCATATATCCAACTGAGCCGCGCAACCCCTTCAGATCAAGACCAGGAGCTTATGATCAAGAACATCCGCTTCCGCACCTACGACCTCGGAGGGCACGAGACTGCCCGGCGCATTTGGAAGGACACCCACCATCCTCCCAAAACGGGGAAACTGATATGGACCCTAAGTGGTAATAGATCCTTGATGTAAGGGCCTCCAAACTCTAAACTCTAAGCATCCCTAAGCCCTCCGTGAGCAAAGCTCCCAAGAAGGTAGGTTCAGGCAGGGCCTCGTCTGAAACGTAGGGCTCCTTTCCAGCTCTCTTCCAGTTCTCTTCAGCTTTTCTGCGTCGCTACAACTCTTTCTCAAACCCTAAACCCTAAACTCTACAGATGGCGTATGTGCTCTCCGGGTGGTGGTCTTCCCTTCCCGAGGAGTGGCTTGCACTTGTGTTGGTGGGGGGGCTACTGTGGCTGGTGCTCCTCGTGCAGACCTATCATGCTCGCACTCTTCTGACGCGCACCATGACGGCAGTGCTGGGTGTGAATGCGCGGTTGCAGCAACTGGAGGCAGAGGTCCTTGGTTGGAGGACAAGTGCCATGGTTGCGCAAGGTACGAGTTCCACGATACCAGACGCTGATGGAGGAGATGCCACGATGCATGCCGAATTTGATCTGCATGCTCAATTTGTTCTTGCATGTCAAGACGTGAGGGGGATGACAATGACGACCCAACATGCATGTGATTGGATGGGGTCGGCCACTAAGCTCATCTCGGCTCAACACGATGAGCTGGGAGACCTCACGAGGGCTCACATTGAGCTCAGCAAGGCGGTCAACAAGATGCTGGACGATGCGGCAGCAACTCGGACAGCTGGCAGTTCGCCTGCTGACTCTATCCCGGCTTCATGGGTGCAAGAGCTGAAGGATGCCTTGGCGCCTTCGGTCAAGGCCATGAAGGACTTGAAAAGCTTGGTGGAGTCAGGGCTTAATGGAGTCAATCAGCAGCTGGCGGATCAAGACCTCACGCCTTTCAAGGACACCCTCAAGGACTTCTTCATCCGTTTTGAGGACGGATGTGAAAAGCTCACTAAAGGGCTAGAGCTGCTGAAGCAGGGGGCTCCCAACACAGCAGGTGGGGCTAATCAGCAAGTTCTTGATGCTTTGGGGGCTATGAAGACTGTGTTGCAGAACTTGGGCTCGCCCTCGAAAGAAGTTCTGGATGCAATCGCGACGGTGAAAGGTGCGGTTGATCGCTGCACACAACAGGGCGAGAAAGTGGAGCAGGTCGCGCGAGCTAAGACGACGAGCATATACGAAGAGGTTGGCCTGCTCAAGGGGCAAAACAGCCAGCTCCACAAAGATGGGTATGCCTTGATGAAGAGCTTGGAAAAGAAGATGGAGCATCAATCAGCTATTCTTGACGGCTTCGCTGGGTCACTTGCGCAGTTGACGGCGGCCTTTGGTCGGCCGCCTGCGGACTCGTCTGGAGTCACCAGACTGCTGGACACGTCGCTCTCGCAAGGGGAAATGCTGAAAGAACTGGAGGGCCATGTGGGTCAGATGCGAGATGCACATGATGAACTCCTGCAGCTGACACGGGAGGTGCGGGAACGCCAGCCTGAGAGGGCACCGTACCGTGAGCCACCTCGCGCAGCACAAGGACCACCTGAAGCACAGCAGCCAAGGGTGCAGCCACAGGTCATCGATCTGCAGTCTCGCATTCCCTTGGTGAGGCCAGTCTTCTCCCACGCAGGCGTAGGTGTTGGTGCTGGCATAGCTACAGTCACGTACAGCGATGGCACCAGGGCAGCAATTCGCGAGGACGAGATTCGAGCCTTCACGGGATGAACGGTTACTGTGTGGTGTGTTGTGGTCAGCTTGGCTCTTTGTGATGTTGGTTAGCTTTGGGTCCTTCTTTGCGAAGTGAAGCTCGATGAAGTCCATGTACTATAGTCTTCCGCACGGCCTTTCTTCCTATATACTGTATGGACGCAGCTGTGGGGCCTGCATGTTGTATCAAGGCAGCATATGTACATTTGCATGGGAATTTAAATTCACGTTTTGCAGGCTGAATTTGTTGCACTGCTGGTGCTAATGCATGCTTGAATACAGTGTATGTACGAGCTGAATGCATGTCACTTGCATGTTGCATGTTGCATCGAACATCTTGGTGAATTTGTATTGGTATGAAGCAGATGAACGCACTGCATGCCTGCACTCCTGGTGTCTTCACTGTCACTGGTTGCCTATGCTTTCTTGTTGCTTGATGCTGGTGCAGGGATAGCAGTGCAGGATAGATCGAACACGTATTTTTTTGCATGTTGCATGTGTGCTGCCTTGAATTAGTGTCTGTGCTCGCACTTACAGTCGTCCGACAGCCGTATAAAAGAAAGGGCGCCTCATGTCCATACTGGAGGTTCTTCGTTGTCGTGATGGGAATAGGATCGTTTGATTTTGTGTAATGCAGAGCGAGGGCTGAGCGAAACAGAGAGATAAGGTTATTGGCTCCGCCAGTGAAAGAGATGATGATGCCCGCGGTCTCCTTCTCTCTCGGGTCGACGATGGCTGAGATGATGATGCGACCGCTGCTCTGTTGTTCGAACAGGGAGCACCGAAACGTTCATCTGCTTTCTTGAGGGTGCTGGTTTAAACCACTAACCCTACGCCCCTCGGAGCCATGACATTCGCTTTGCTGCCTCGTCCTGTTACAATATCTACGGGACTGGAGGTTGGAGCACTTACTGGGTTTCTGTCACGACTGGATGAAGACTCGGCAGACTGCTTGGCTGTGGAGCTCATTATACGTATTGGGGAGCTGTCGGAACAATTCCATATGCTGATGGCGTGCCCCCTTGTGGTGGCATATTTGGAAGATCTTTCGGCAGCATGCCAGGCCTATATTTTGCCGGAAGTACCCAGCGTGGATCATCGGGAAGCGATCATTGAGCCACTTTTGGGCCTTGTTAAGCGTATCAGGCTGCGTGTTTGGTTCCTGTATGCTGATACACTGCTGTATAGCTGATGGCCACGGTGAGCATGAGCAGTTGTATTGAGGCCTAGGCTCGCAAATCTCGCTGTGTCGGAAGCAGCCCATGCTGTTGCTTCCGTGGAGCTTACAGAATGTCCAGAAGTTGTCAATTTGGGAACGGAGTGCATGAGAAGCCCGGAAACCTTTAAAGCAAGGAATTTATTCGATCGCACGTGCATTGGAAGCTTGATGAATTCATGGTGCAATGGGCCTGGTGGTGCTGGATATTTCTTTCTGCGTGTATTTGAATTCACTGAATTTGGTTCCCACTCCTGCTGGAGCCTGCATGGTATCTACATTTGCATGGTGCTGCAAGCTGGGTGCTTGGATGGGGCTGAATGATGCAACCGAATAGGTGCCGCAGAGGTAGCAATATGTGGATGATGGGCAGTGCAGTGGGAGATGGGCCTACGAGAATACATGAATATGTACTGCATGATTTCTGCAGGCTTGGTCGTGGAATGTGAAGGAATTGAACGAATATCTGAATTCCAGCGTGCATGGGAGAATGTGCGAGATTCATGTGTACAATCTTTGCATGTAAAAAAAAACTGTGGCAATGTCGAAGTGAGATGGGTCAGCTCTTTTGAAACAGAGAGTGGCTAGGGCAATGTCCCTGTGTCATGTATGGGCTAGTTGGGGCTGCTGTCTATGCTGACTCGTACGGAGGCTGTTGCCTTATTTTGTTGGGTTGATGGGTTTTTGGTCAGGTGGTTTAGTTGTCTGGTGTGAGCAGTATGAGTCGGCGTGAGCAGTTGAGTTAGCGGAGATCGAACCATGAGGAGCCTTGCCTGCTTGTGCGAGTGTGAGAGTCGAAACCCTATACTCTACACCCTCAAAACCCTGAACGAAACCCCTACACTAAGCCCGAAACCGTTCCAGCCGCAGCCCCCGAAGCGGCAAAGCGAGAAATCGGGGCTGATGCCCAAAGTGACAGTTTCGGGGCTATGGATTGCTCAGAAAGTGTTAGGTGCAGAAACCCTAGCGTCAACGCAGAGGGCCTGAAATTCGAGGATTTTTGAGGGGAGGTGTGCCGGTCCGTGCTTGGAGAGTGCCCGAACACACGGATTGCCCCACGCAGGACTATTTCGCCACCGTGGATGGTATCATCTTCCTTGAGGGGGCCCAAGCAACCCTGAACCCACCTAAACCCGAAACACCAAAAGCCTTTTGCAGCACCAAGAATGGACCCGTCCAGCCCGCAACAGCCATCCGCTTCGGCCCAGAACCATTTGAGCCCAGGCCCCTGCAAGGCTACACCCTCCACCCAGAAGGTTCTGAGCCCATATTTTGGATATTCTAGACCCGTTTGGCTGCAAATCAGGCACCCCGGAGCTTCAAAAATGCTATCCAACCTCTGCGTGTGATGTCATTATATGGAGTTTACGGCAGAGCACGACTCCGAGATAGACTCGAAATAGCCGGATCCCCTTTTGTAAGGGCACCAACTGCGACAACAACATGATCAACCCTGACACCATGCTTCCTCATGCAGCTGCTGCATGCTGCTGCTGCTGCTGCTGCTGCTGTTCCTGCTGTCATGAACCTACGGTTAAAAGTTAAAAGACACTCCGAAAGCCTATTACTCCTCAAAGTTTCTTATGATAATTATACTACAATGTCACCCAAAACCCCCTTCTAACTATTAAGACCCTATAGTAATCACATGTTTCACTCAGAAGGGCTCTTTTCAACAGATCCCTCATTTTAGCTTTCTAGTTCTATCCGTTTTTCGCAAGAGCTCTTATAAACAGATCCCAAGGTCGATGCAGCCGATCGGACACGATTCCAGGAGGCCCCCCTCGTAAGGAAGATAGGCTTTTGGCTTTAGGGTTTAAGGTTTATCAGGGCTTAGGGTGTATGGCTTTGGGGTTTTCGGCATACCCCAAACGCTGCCTCGCCCAGGGCCCTTGAACACAAAATCACAAAAAGCCTCAATCCCCAAAAACTCCTGAGCCCTTCAACCCTGGTAAGTCGTTGGACCAGCGTGGCTACAGACCTTGCCAGGCTTGTCCGAGTGTGGGTGTCAAA